GCCAGACATTTCTCATAGTTGTGGATGCCTACTCAAAATGGTTAGACGTAGTCCTGATGACCTCCACTACGGCAGAAGCAGTCATCAAGGTGCCATTGAGACTTTTCTCCACGCACGGTCTGCCCGACATCTTGGTCTCTGACAATGGGCCCCAATTCACGGCCATGCAATTTGAGACCTTCCTAAAAGCTCAGGGAATCAGGCATGCCCTGGTCGCGCCATTCCATCCGGCCTCCAATGGTCAGGCAGAGAGAATGGTGAGATCTGCAAAAGAGGCCTCTGACAAACACAGGTTGACCACTATTTGCTAATTCAGCACATCACACCCAGTGCCACTACAGGGAGAAGCCCCTTTGAGCTTCTTATGGATTGCCGGCTAAGGTCTCACTTAGACCGGCTACACCCCAATTATTCTGCCTCATCACCCCCAGACTCCACAAGCAAGATTTGGGCAATTAGCGTAGGGGATTCGGTATACGCCCACAACTACGACGGGGGAACTCTGTGGATTCCTGCCACAGTGAAAGGCATCACCGCCCTCGCTCTTGGCTCTTAGAGCTCGAGGACGGTAGGAATTGGAGGGGGCATATTGACCAACTTTGTGGCCACCTCTCCAACTCCACACTTAGACAACCAGAGGTAACTCCAGCACAAGTTAGCCAACGCCCTACCCAAACAGAGCAAACACTCACTCCTTCCACGGCCAGCTCAAGCCCGAGGGTACCAAGAAACTTATCTGATTTTGTTGCAGGCCCGCGAGCTCTGAGCGAACCAGCTCTAGGACCTCCAGCCGCGGCCTGTGGAAGGTTCCAGGACCTTCCACCAAGCGGAGCTGCAGAGCAAACAGGTCTGTCCAACCTGTCCAAGGAAAACCCCTTCTACTGAACTGCGGAGGTCAGGCAGAGCTACCCAAAAGCCTGCCTACCTGTGTGACTACATAACAGGTAGGATTGTTCCATCCAAGAGGGGAGGGGTGTTAGATATTTACTCTAACTACAATGGTTTCCACCAAGGTCCTCTGTTCCGGCAGGAACAAAGGTTTAACCCTATTGGTTGAAGGGTCTGACAGCTCCCTATAAAAGGGCTGCTGTCAGACTCAACTTCACTGGATTGTTCTCACTTGTTGTATTTAATAAAGAGCTGTTGTTACCGTTAAGCCTGCGTGTGCCTATCCTTTACCCAATCTAACAGGATTCAAATAATTTAACATCCGCTTCTCTGCCCTAATGATTTCTTCCAGCAACCAGTTCACCAAACTGCTCACAAATTTAACAACTGGTTCTCCCGAAGTGGTGCAAACTGGCTGAATCCCACCACTGCATATATGTATATTCACCATTTAAAGAGATTCTCAGGTCCCTATCGGAACGCTGCCATTCTGGAAATGGGGGGAAGCACCATGGGTGGAATGGTTTGCATGCTTTCACTTTTGCTGTAACTGCTTGGGGAATTTGGGGGATGGGGAGAGAGATGGCCATCTGCACTGACTCCCTCTCTGCCGGTTCCAGCAATATATTAAAGGTCGCAATGCCCCAAGGAAGACCAATTTGAACCATGCAGCCTCGGAGTTCTCATAACATAACTGTTTCAAGAGTTTTACTTTCTTGAGAAGGTAGCTGAAGCAGGTGCCTTGCAGAGATGCCATTTTTAATCTAACATATTCCAGAACCTAGATTGGTTGTTTGAACATTCTTTTCTCATCAGTTCACCACAGAACAGAACTGCAAACTGAAAAGGCAAGATGGACAGTAGAGGCACCAAGCGCTGCTAACATCTGTGGTAAGATGGCATCATCTCCCTATCCCTCTGAAAAATGAAAACAAAAAAATTATCCTGTTTCCTTAATTTCCCAACATAATTTTGTGAAAGATTACTACCTATAGCATCTTCAGGTGGCAAGTCAACATTGTCGGTGTATAGGTACTCAAGAAAAGCACGATACACTGGATAGGAAAACTGATCTACGTCTATCACTTCCTTCTCATCTTCATTCCAGTAGGACTGGAACATAGTACGGAAGTGCTCACATCTGCAAGAAAAAACACTGTAAAGCCTCCTCCAAATTGTGCACATTACATCAAGAACAGAAGAAATATAGGCAGCACATGGCTTCTTCAAAATGGTCTGCTCTCATTCCCCGGCAGCATTTTTGCCATCGTGAACAATCCTAGGTTTTTTCTATTAGTTTAAAGTCCAACCTGCTGTCCTAATAGCTATTCCTAATAGCTATTTTCACATGAGTAATTAAAGCTGTATTTTATATCTAGTATTCCACAAAAACTGTAGCCTCAAAATGAAAGATTACCCAATGCTTTTAATTTTAATCAAATTTAAAGTACCTATTGATGTATTAATCTATTCTTAATCTCATTTTAACACCTATAACAAGCAATTAAAAAGGATGTAAAATGGCAAGTTCATTAAAGAAGCAAAATAAAATACAGTATACTACATTAGTAAAATGATTTAGGCATTTATTAACCACCTGGATGATTAAGTTAAAAACATTACCTGATTTTTAAAACAGCTTTATGTACATAAATGAATTTTCCATCTACTCTAAACTTTAGATCTGATGTTTCAGGACTGTCAAATTCTCTCTTCAAAGACTCTGTCACTGTTAAAAATTCCTCATGCTCTGTAAAAGCAATTATAACACCAAAAGAACATAGAGTCAATTCATGCCAGACTTCAGAGTTTTACACAATTTTGTTTGTTAGCTTTACAGAAGCATTCTTGTACTGAATCCCATAAAGGCAAAAGGGATCAATGACCCAAAAATATATATAGTACAGCTTTCATCAACACACTGCTTCATTTAGATTTCTACATGACAATGAAATATATCATTCTTATAAAAAAATTGTGTTCCATGTAACTGGGCAGATCTGAAATATGAAACAAGTCTGATTCTAGAAAGGAGTTCTTAAAACAGAATATTGTGTTTTAAGTGTGGCACTTTAAATTCTAACACAATCAATATAGTTTCAGATTTGGGGTACTACAGTTCTCATCAGATGCCAGGATTCATGTTCTTTGACTATCAGTATTTTGGTATTTAGGTAGGTAAATCCGATTTGTCATTCTTCCTACCCTTCCAACTGCCTGTACAGGGAACAAGCAGCAGTACTAGGTGAAAAGCCCCTTGATGCTTTCACAATCCTTCGGTTCCCATTTCTTATAAAAGTCATAACTTTAATTTTATGTTATGTGAGTTACATTCACTGTATTCCAGCTCCAGAAACAGGATAATTTGATGACTATTCTGTGAACATTATTTCCTGATCATGAATGTATAAAACTTCAAAACACACACACACAAAATTATCAATTATAAACTTATGTCATATATACTGGAGAAGGGAAGGTCAATTCTAAGATGCTTTCTCAAACTCCATTCTTAGCTGAGGCTCAGATTTTGTTTCCGTGCCCCCCCCCAAAAAAAAACCACCCACTCCTCTTCTGTATAGACTAACTCTTCTTCTTTTCTCTGAAGGTTATTGCCACAGTCCATTACAGGCTTCCATAAATATGAGAAATTTTCACTTCTGCATCTGACATTAAGTGTACTAGTTCTCACCTACTGACAGGAGACGCCACATCACAGAAGGAGTGGAAAAGCAAGCAAACACATCATCTGTGCAGGAAAGGTGGGTAACATGGGGCAGGACCACCGACTGCCCCCGACACTGACCCCACATGTAAACTAAGCCACTCTGTGTTTTGGCAGCAGATGTGTGAGTGGAATGGCAAGCAGCGATTTCGACAACCCTACACAAGGATAAAAGCAGACCACAAGTATTCAGTGCCAGAGATGTCACAGTTGTCTTGTTGTTCTTATGCTGGCCAATCATTTGGTGCCTGATTTTGCTTTCACTATCATGTTTTGTTCCAAAACTCAATCTAGAGCCTTAAAGGTTAGGTACCTCCTACAGATAATATACTTACTGAGTAAAGAAAATGAAGATAAAGAGGAGATAAAATAGAGCAGAATAGAATAGAATATGTAACTGATCTGTGCGCTCTTGTAGACAGGAATGAACAATTCTGTGTCCAATTCTGGTCACCGTGATACAAAAAAGATGCAGAGACCCTAGAAAGTATGCAGAAAAGAGCAACAAAGATGATAATGGGTATGGAAGCTAAATTGAGGGGAATTAGGTATGTTTAGCCTAACAAACAGAAAGCTTTGGGGTGACATGATAGCTTCCTTCCAGTATTTGAAGGGGTGTCATGGGGGGTGGGGTGGGGGGTGTCAACTTATTTCCCAAAGCACCTGATAAAAAGCAATGGGTGGAAGCTCATTAAGAGAGCGCCAACCTCGAACTAACAAGAAACTTCTCAACAGTGAGAACAGCTTGCCAGCCGGTGTTGTAGAGGCTTCATCGTTTTTCAAGGGAAGATAGCACGCCCCTTTGACTTGGATGGTAGTATATAAGGCTCCTGCCTTGAGTAAGGGGTTGAACTAGAAGACCTCCAAGATCCCTTACCACCTTATGATTTTATATTGTGAAGAACTCAGCTAAGGACTTGCCTCTCCTTTGCCATCTTAACCCTTTCCTCTTCAGATTCAGAGAAAAAGCTTTTTCCTATGTGTGTGCGCTAATGTTTGTGCTTACAAACAACCCTTAAACAGAGTCACTTGGCTGAGATGGGTGGATATGGACATTGATTTCCCCATTCAGCTGTCTGCAATTTATTTAAGCAACTGGTGGCTGATGGTAAGTACTGTGGCCCATATAACTTTGGGCATGTAGAGTATAAAATAAATAACTAAGGGGGCTTCATTTCATTGCATTTGTCATCTTTTATCTTTGTATTTTATTCTTTTTATAGAAAATTATTTGACTGTTACTAGTTTCCCAGGGTCACCCAAGAAGCACAAGGCTGCTGATAAATAACTTTGGAGATAAGAAACTGTTTCTCTGTTTCTTGCAACAAAGAAAGAAGCTGGTGAGAAAGATTTGAAGAGTGGGAAATGATGGCTGGTGATTCCAGGCATGCTGAAGTGTTGAAGCGCTGTCCTTCCCAGGTGATCCTGGGACAAGACTCTTGAAATATACCTGGGTGCAGTCCAGAGAAGACAGGTGTTGGCTGCAAGGGAAAGACAGCCTTGGGGCAAAGGAAATCAGGTGCTGGCAGCCCAAGAGAAAATGCTTGCTGACAAAATAGCTCAACTCTATAGAGAAAGGGGATTGTAGGGAAAAAAATGTAACTGCATTACATGCAAAGAAACTGTTTCTTTAGATATATGGGCACAATTAATGATAAATCACTGCCACATTCCTATTCTTATTTAGCTGAAGCAGAGAAGGGAGGAAGGTGCGGGTGGAAGACAGGTATTATGCATTAACTGCCTTAACAGAATACATTATTTCACCAGTATGAAAAGAAAACTAAGAAACTTCGTGGCACGACATAACTAAAGCGCGCCAACAATACCGCAGCGATAAAACCGCGATGTCAAAAGCGCGCCCACAACAGCGCGCTGACAACAGCGCGCCGACAGAAGCGCGATTTAACTTAAGGTAAGGTTTTGGGTTAGGTTTAGGGTTAGGTTTAGGGTAGGTTTAGGGTAGGTTTAGCGTTAGGTTTAGGGTAGGTTTAGGGTAGGTTTAGCGTTAGGTTTAGGGTA